TGAAAAATAAATTAGAAATAACTTTTTATACAATTATTTTTATAATTTTACATTTTATTTAAATAATTAATTTTTTTATTTACTTAAAATCTTTAATATTAAATGTATTTATACATGTGATTTGATGATATGTTAAAATTGTATAAAAAATTATACAAAAATATTATAAAAAATGTCTAGTTAACGGTTGAACCCCACAATATTAACAAATAACCTTTTTTTTCCCCTTAAAAACATTTATTTTTTATTAATTCTTTTAATTCATTCATCAAATTTGAAAATACTTAATTTTAATCAAAATTAACTCTCGATTTTCTCATAAAATTTGTTTAACACCCAAATAAAAGGAGTTTCATAAAGCTAGACAATTTTCTCATTGTCCAACCAATTGAAACAATACTGATTAAACAATTTTCTCGGCATCTAAACACAAACTCAACAATTTCTAGCTAAAGAAACGAGTCTAAACAACAAAATTGCACAATTTTCCAGCCAAGCAAACCAAAACCCAACACTTCTCTGCCCATCTGCTGCTGCTGCTGCTGCTTCTATTCTTTCCATCACTGGCATATTCTCTTTTCCAGCATTAAAAAACACTGAAATTTGAACCCATAGATCTAGGTTCCAAAACCCAGCAATGGGGTTCGTTCGAACCCAGTTGCTGGGTTCGTCTGAACCTAGATTTGAATTCCTCACAAACCCAGCTCTGGGTTCGCAAGAAACCCAGTGTTGGGTACCTCACAAACCCAAATCTTGATCTGGGTTCGTGAGGAACCAAAATCACTTGGGTTTGCAAGGGGGAGAAGAGAGAGAGGGCGGACGAGGAAATGAAGGGGAGGAAGAAAGGACTCAGGCTGCAAAGGAAGAGGAAGATGTGAAACGAAGGATAATTTTGTAATTTCGAATTAACAAATAAAAAAGAATTAAAGGCAATAAACATATTTATTGTAAGTGGGACCTGATAGAAATTATTTTCTCCGCGTAAATTAGTTGTATAACATGCAATTGCCATGTCATCGAACAAATTGAAGGAAGGAAATCGCCCTCTGGAGTCAATGAATTTGCCACGTCATGTTAAGTCACGGAATGACGAGATCTAAAAAAGTTGCAAAAAAAAAAACTTTGAGAGATGAAATTTGTTAAAAATTGAAAGTTAAGGACATATTTGGTATTTAACCTAAAAGAAACAAGAAAAGGTTCTGACTACTGCCTGCTTTGGATTTTATTTATTTTTTTCCTTTCTAAAAGCAAAGGGGCGGTGTTATTGCCAGCAATCACAAAAAAAATATATATATATATATCTTTAAAAATATTAATTTAGTTTAATTTAATTAATAAAAATAATTAATAATTATAATTATCAATTAATACTAATATAATAACTAATATTTATTAATTAATAAATTAAAATCAATTAACAAATTGATATTTATAGATACTATTTAAAAAGACTGAAAATTAGCAGGCCAAACACCTTTTTTTTTCTTTTCTTTTTTTTTTCTTTTTTGAAAATATCCACATTCAAAGTGAAGTACACAACTAAATTGAATGCATACAATTATAAAGGTTTGATCCAACCAATTCGAGTCTAATCGTTTATTTTGGTTTTACTCACCTAGGATTTTCTTTACTCTTTCTACTAACAAGAACAAGGATGGCTTAAAGAAGACACTTAATTTTTTTTACAAGATGAGTTTTCTCATAAATCTCACCCTTTTTTACAAAACAAATCAATAATCTTTACTACAAATCACTCTTGAAGAAATAATCACACCCCAAAATAACTCTTAAAGAAAACAAGTATAGGATTACAAGTAAAAATACTAAATGATCAAAATCTCAGGTTAAAGCACACAAATCACAAATTAGTAGATAAGAGATAAACAATGAAAAATATCTAAAACTTGTTTCAAGACTTCTACCAACTATTTTTATACCACTTTGGTTGAAAACAACCGTTTCTAGCCATTGGGGTGCATTTAATATCCTATAGAACAATTTAAGTCTGAGAAAATGTGTGGTAGACTTTGTCAGTAGAGTTGTCTATACCTTCAGGATCAGCTATACAAAGCCAGCTATCATACCTAGAGCCAGTTATCTTGCTTCATCTGCACTTTCTGTTTTTCTATTGAGCTAGCTACAAAACACAAAGCCAATTTAAGATACTTGACTTCAAAATATTAAAAAAAAATCTTTAAAGAATTTGATCATTTAAGCATTAAATGTGCCATCATATCCTATTACAAAGTCATAGCTGGTTTTGTGTCCATTTTCCAAACATTCCAAACTGAAAACTTGAATTTTTCTCCCATGAAGCCAGTTGCAGCCTTTATAGCCAACTTTTTGCATTTGTCTTCACTGGAGTCAACTATAGAATTGTAAAGCCAGTTCTCTACACCAATTTTAGCATTTTGGTCCATTTTCACTGCAGTTTAAGTTCATTCACTTTTGCCAAGTTTTAGGTGATAAACTACACACTTAGATAAACAAATGTGTTTTATAATCATCAAAATCATAAGTGCAACAATCATAATAGTCCATCATAAGAGAATTTCTTCTCAAAACCAATTTTAGGTTTTGCATAAATCTTTGAGTCACAATTTTTGTTTATATTCATATAGCTCATGATCAATATCACTTGCAGTATGAGCTTCACATCATCAAGTATTTGGACTACCAGTCCAAAAATTTTACGTTATTCTTGTGATTTTAATCTTACTTGGATTGTGCCTTGTCATATAGGCCAATAATTTCTTTGTGGACAATTTCCAATTGATTTTGATCCAAGATCCTTTTTTCCTTTGATTATATCTTGCACTATTGCATATGCAAAAATATCATCAATAATAATTTTATTTGGCTTCTATCCTTGTCTAGAAGAGCCATAATTCATAGAGTTCTCATCATTGCATATAATTTCAAAATTTGCATTGTTTTCAGGTACCTGATCCTGTTATGAGGTTGTTTCCTCAATAACCCTTCAAAAGTACTTATGATTTCAACAATACTTTTGATTTCAGCAATACTTTCTACTTATACTTTCTCTTCATTCTTGGATTTGAATCTTTAGAACCATTTGTTCTAACATGTTTCAAGCACACACATAATATACTTATTTGCTAATGTTTTGGCAACTTTTCTAATATTATCAGGAGTACTTGAAACTTGGATATGTGATTTATTCACTTTCATTTAATCAATAGATGCATCCAACAATTGATAGTACAAAATTTTGGAATTCTAATTCATATCACTTTATTTTAGGATCTTGGGCAATGCATCTCAAGTTATCTCCTACCTTTTAAATATTCTCTCCTTGATGCTAAGAACATGATTTCTTTAGATTGACAATCTACAAATTATATTGTGAATCAATCATTCAAAATATCCAACAATAATTCCCAGCCTTCAATAAAATATTACATGTTGATTAAAGAACTCCTATATCATCATCATATTGAAGCATACATATATGCCAAAATATATCAAAATAGTCTAGATGATGGAGTTTTAACTCAACTCGTCTCATTGAATTCAATATAATAATAAAGGAGATTCCGCTTCATTTTCATTTGTAGAAAACTTGGTAATCATGTTTCCAAGGAAATATAACATATGAAAAATCATTTGTTAGCTAAATCAATTAGGCCCAATAAAGATTTTTTATGATTAACTAACTTCTAATTAGTCTCAATAAAGGATATGACATTGAAATAATTTATATCATTCTCCTGATGGTTCCAATATGATAACTATCGTCTTTTTGTATCTTTAAAAACTTAGTAAATTCTAATATAATCTACTAAAAGTACAAATATTCACATGTATCAATCATCTTTGTGTTCTCCCAAGCAATATAATTCTAACTCTTCTGGACCTTTTGTTATTCACAAAATTCAAGTTTTTCCATAGCCTTATAATTGTAATATAAAATATTACACTTTCTTCAGGCCAATTGTAACTGGTAGAAGATTTTTAGAGTGGCAAGAGTCACTACACTATTTTCATGATGTAAATATATATCATATATAAATATTTTTCTCAATTTCTCCCTTATCACATCAACTCACATATTCACTATCTCATACATCACTTTTATTATTATTTTTTAATTCAAAATTCATGGTATCATCAAGTGATGTTTTATATATTGTGTTCTTGATGTGGGATTTTTCCACTCAGCATGCTCCTTCACATGCAGGCTCCTTCATGTGCAGGCTCAATATGAACTTCAAGTCCTATCATGTGGCTTAACATGTCCCTTAACATGTAGGCCCAATATAAACTTCAAGTCCTATTAAGTGAGCCAATAACAGGGGTTCCCAAGAATGGAGCTTAGGCTCTGATACTGTAATTTTGAATTTCAAATTGAGCTAGTGATTCACCATTTCTTTTCCCATTGTGTGGGGATATATGTATTCATGAACTCTAGACACTATTATAAATGTCTATTGAGGCACGCCACCTTTTTTTAAAGTGCTTTCTAATTATTCATTTTCATCTTGCACCATTATATCAAAAGATTCAAAACTGTATAATATGAGTGCATATGACATTTACTTCTGTAAGCAGTATTACACCTTATAGTATAATATGGGTGTTATACAAAATTTTAATAGGCACCATTAAAACCAATAATAATTTATAGGGATACCTTCTTTTTCTTTCTTCTCTATCCACATGCAATTCCAAATTAAGAGTGGATCATATATCATCACAATCTTGGGATAAAAATCCTCAAGTGAGAAGTATTATTTTCAAATGGATATAAGATATCCAACTTTAATATCAAATTACATATCACAAGTATCACATGTGCATACATCCATCTTAATAATGTTTCTAATGAAACTCAATAATACACTTTGCTTTTTCTTTATGTGATACTTTTCTTTTTCTTTTTCTTTTTTTCTAATGAATTTCAACAAGTACAATGACCTTTCATGTCAGATCTATAATAAGTATTTTTAGGATTTTGCCTTTCATGTCACATGTATAAGAAGCACTTCCATAATTCTTAGTTGGCTTTTTATCCAAACCCTTCCAATTTGTATATTTTTTTATATCAAATAGTACTATAGCCATGGCCATGTTCATATCATACCCATAATTATCATATAATATTGATGAACTAAATTTACTCTAGCAAGAGTATTAGTCAATTTAAGTAAATATAATGATAAGAATAGAGTATCATCTCACAGAGATTGTAAACTAATTAAGTACCAAAATTAACTAATTCTAATTTTATTTGAATAATTGAAATTAAATGATTTGAATAAAGTAATTAACTAAAACAATTAAAGAAAAATTAAATTGATTTTGTGTAACACCAAGAGTTAAAATTCTAAGGCATTCGATTTCACCATAATCAATATAGAATTTAAATTAATATACTTCCAAGGTATTTATTATTTATGTGATAACGGGATTTCTTATTTTATTCAATATACCAAACCTATCTTCACCTATTAACTCATTATATTTCTATATGAATTAAAAAAAATAAAGATGCATTATATTTTGTAAACTTCCCTAGTTTACGTAGAAAATTATGTTCACTTATCACTAATGTTGCATGAATCACGTTGGTTCATCTTTGGCTTTTGTTCAATTTATGATATATATTACTAAAAGCGATTGCATAAAATCCCCCTCTT